CTGATATCTTTTTCATGTCTTTGTTGCGAACGTTGAAACGACTTTTGTTGTTCTTGGTGAGATTCAGTTTGGGTTCTGCTGTAATGATTTAAGTTTCTTGATTTGGATGACTTTGCGAACCTGTATTTTGATAAATAACTTGTTTGTTACATATCAAGTATAATTAAAATTAAGAGTAATCATATTTTATATAACATATTTTGAGATAAAAATGTCATTATATACCTGGTACATTTCTTTAAGCTTTTGAGAAATAAAATTGAATCTATGCTGGAATTCGTCCAATATTTGCTTCCTTAAATGATGTATTTCTCATTTACATAGATTTGAGTTGGCGTTTTCGGTTGTTTCTAGAGATTTTTTTTTTTAAAAAAAAAAATAATTAGATATAAAGAATAAATAGAATATAAAAAAGATAAATTAGAAAACCTTTAAATTGCGTAAAAAAGATCTAGACGATATTACTGTTAAGCTTTATTAATGGAAAGAGGAATACGATCGTTTACGATTTGAAGAAAATTCATGCATGGATTCAATTTAATATCTCGAAAGCTTAAAGAATATTAATCTCTCCTTGTAATGTATCTTTGTTCATTGCATCGAGCTCATCATCAGTATAGATTGAAATTCTTGCTCCTCGTCACCCCTATTTATAAAAGTCAATGAGATAAATGGTAGAATAATATTTTAAAAATATCATCAGCATGCCTTACCCGATTTCATGAAGTGTAAGCTTGCTAAGTGATTTTCGTCAATGAATTTTTTTTTGTTTATTTTCTGTCAATTGCGTTCACTATCTTCTATATGGTTTTTTAGTCATTAAAAAAGATTGACTTAATTTAGAGAATAATGATAAATATAAATATAAACCTTAATTATTCTAATCTTATTAATAATTTCGGTTTTTTCATCAAATTCTTCCTTGATCTCATCTAATTCTTCTTTTTTACTTTCCAATATCTAAATATTAGAAAACATTTAAATAAGCATTTATTTATTTATATTAATAAAACAATTCAGATATAATAAATCATAAATACAGATTTGGCTTCATCGGCTTTAATACGAATGGAACGTGCAACTTTGGCTTTCTGTTGAATTTCTTTTGTAATATTTTCTATTCATTATTTAATTCTTCTAATTTTCTTTCACTATTTGCTAGAGAATTTTCGAATTTTTTCATTTCCTTTTCCGCCCTTGAATACGCCTGGTATCATCTATATTTAAATTATCTTTTTGCCTTAAAGGAAAAATCAAAAAAAAATTTGATTTTTATTAATCTTTACCAAAAATTTATTGGGGAAAAAGTTCTAACATACCGTAACTCGACCATTCTTGTTTCATTATCGGTAATACTTTTACGCAAGCATCAGCATACATCTCTAACTTTGATAGTTCAAACTCTAATTTAGGAAGTTCATCCTTTTTCTCTTGAATTTGAGATTCTAAAGAACTAAGTTTTTCATTAAATTCTCCACTGTACTTCTAAGTGATTACGTTCTCTTTCTAATTTTGCTATTGTCTCGGGTGTTATGTCGGAAGAAAATATTGAATTCATGGCATCTTTCAAC